GATCTCGGCACCTTTCTCTAGTAACAGCTTGACCACAGCCTCATGTCCCTGTTGAGCAGCCCATGATAGCGGCGTTCGATAATCTGTATCCTTTGAATCGATCTCGGCACCTTTCTCTAGTAACAGCTTGACCACAGCCTCATGTCCCTGTTTAACAGCCCACAACAGCGGCGTCCAACCATCTGTATCTTTTGAATCGATATCAGCACCTTTCTCTAGTAACAGCTTGACCACAGCCTCATGTCCCTGTTGAGCAGCCCATGATAGCGGCATTCGATAATTTGTATCCTTTGAATCGATATCAGCACCTTTCTCTAGTAACAGCTTGACCACAGCCTCATGTCCCTGTTGAGCAGCCCATGATAGCGGCATTCGATAATTTGTATCCTTTGAATCGATCTCGGCACCTTTCTCTAGTAACAGCTTGACCACAGCCTCACGTCCCTGTTGAGCAGCCCATGATAGCGGCGTTCGATAATTTGTATCCTTTGAATCGATATAAGCACCTTTCTCTATTAACAGTTTGACCACAGTCTCGTGCCCCCATTCAGCAGCCCATGATAGCGGCGTCTGATCATTTGTATCCTTTGAATTGATATAAGCACCTTTCTCTATTAACAGTTTGACCACAGTCTCGTGCCCCCATTTAGCAGCCCATGACAATGGCGTTCGGCCGTTTTTTTCTTTATTATCTAGCATATATTCCTCTGACTCAAGTAGAAAAAGAAGTAGTATTTCGTTACCGTACTCTGCAATATAAGAGAGCACAGTCCGTTGCCGTGAGAAAGTGAAGTCACGTCCAATACTAGTTTGTCTGTTCTTCTCTGATCTGTATTCTTTATACAAGTTATGAAGTGATGATGTTGGTGGCTTGGTTTTCGCTTCGATTTTCAAGAGTGCTTGGATAGCTTTATCACTACCAGTAGCCAGAGCGGCCAAAATTGGCGGTCCATATCGTTGATTGGTAATGTCAAAGCAAGACCCATTGTGAGGACAGACTGGAATAAGTTCAACTAAGTTTTTCTCTGCGAGAAGATAGAGAATACTGGTTGTTTTCGAATATCGCCGAATCTGAAACTTTTCGAGAGCATTATTCAAGATTATCCACTGCTGAAAGGGGAAATCGGTAAGAAATGACCCCTGTTCAATCGAATTCTGTTGAGCACTGTTTGCGTGATATAAAACATTGGAAACCGAATAATCAAGGAATGGAAACTTCGATTTAATAGCCTCCTGCAACTGTACCGCTTCGGATCTCTTAGGTAGAGAATATGGTATATCGATTTCTTGGTTGATTGAAGCCCTCAATTGAGCCAAGCAGCAATTCTTCAAAACTTCGTTTCCATGGCCCACGAAATTTCTAGAAGTCCTAGACCCCTGATCCTCGTATTTACCCAGTAAGAAATCTCGAACAGATTCATGGATGAACTGAACTTCAGAAACTTTGTTCCGTGTGACTTCAGCCAAGCCCTTAGAAGAACTCGTTACGAAAGTTTTTATTTGGTCTAAGTTCACATCTTCCTGATCCCAATAACTTGTGCACTCTTCATCGAGACAAATTTGAATTGCAAAATAAAGCTCCTCTGGCTTTAAGGGGCGGGTGGCGAAGAGGATGAATTTGAGGCAAACCTGCAATTGTTCAAGGTTCTCTCCATCTCGCGAGAGGATCATCTCAAACAATTCCACTAGGCCAATCGGAATTTCTTCGAGGCGTTTTCGAATCCTTTTGATGGAAATGGAGCTCTGTGGATATTCTTTATTGAGGATTTCAATGACCAAAACGACCCAAAGGAATATACTAGAAGACTTCTCAAGAATTTCGGATCGAAGTAATTCCGCTGATTTTGAGGTACCTAGCCTTAGCTTCGACTTGATATAGTGTTTGATATCTTCGGTATGTCCAGATTCATGTTCCAAAATGATTTCGATGCCATTCTGAATAACAATGGTTGGATAATGTCTACTAGAGAAACATATTTGTAACCGAACCTTCACATCTTCAGCGGACTCGCAAAGTTCTTCAAAAAAGCACACCATTCTATTGACTTGATCCTGGTCACATTCATCCAATGCATCAACAAATACCATTAGTGGCCGATTTCCAAGCCTAAGCACAGTGTGTTTTAAAGTTTGCATCAACGCTTGCTCATTCCATCCATTTCGTTCAATGCTCTTTGCACCGTCACCTGTCATCCACTCCAAACTGTCTCGGAAATCCGCAACTTTCTCAAAAAGCTTGTGGAGCAGAGAACGATATAGACCTGTTGTTGACTTTTCCTCAATTGTGCCTCGCGCAAGAAAGAAGAATGATAATGTAATTTGCAAGGAATTGCCTTTTGCATCAGACTTGGCCTGCTCGAAGAGAAGTTTCATCAATGTTGACTTTCCTGTACCGGGATTGCCTTTGATCCAAAGGAACCCTCCATTGTCTCGAAACTTTTCTGCATCATACCATGATATATATTCAGGTTTGGTAAGGAACCAACGACAGGTTGATCCTTGGGCCGCTGTCAAACTCGTCAGACGTTCATCAATTTTGGCAAAGTGGAGTTGGTCAATTATCGCTTTTTTAGTGTCGGCATCAATGCCATGAATAGACTTCACAGGTGACAGTGGCGTTTCAGAACCTTTAGAGTTCCGGCTATCATTTATAGGTGTGAACAAGGGATCGTGCAAGCTTTTGAGTCGCTTGGTGGATTCGGAATTGGTCGGTGAAACCGTTGATGCGTCTTCAAATTGACGTTTCTTCGAACGTTTGTCTAGTTTTCTTTGTAGTCTATTCATTGCGTTGTTGGCTCCCTCGCCATAAAGAAGTGGCATATATATATCGAAAATGCCTAGTAGACAGTAAGACCTGTCTTCTTCACGCTTAGTCTCACGATTCCGTGCCCACAACATTCTTTCTTCGACACTAAATGTAGATATACTAGCTCCTTCAAGCGCCGACACTGCAATCCCCGTTATTTTATGAATCTGTCGCTCCAAAGATTTCTTGTCGCCAAGAAAGTTGCCATTCGAGCAAAAGAATTCAAGCGATCGAGGAGCAATAAGTTCTTGAAGGGTCCAGCCCCGGGTAAACCATCGACTTTTCTGAAAAGCTGATTGCCATAATTGCGAAGACAGATCGACGTGATCATTTGTCGAAACATCTGATAGATAAACATAGCATTTAATTGCATTGCGGTACCAGCGGAACATGGAGTTGATAGCCTCTGCGAGCTCAGTACTATTTGATTTATCGATACAACAAGTATCCACCCAATAATATTGTAAACCATGGCGCTTGGCTTGTTTTTCGCAGAACTGAATTTTCTCATAGCCAGACTTGTCCCTTCCAGTGCCATCTATCAAATCTTGAAAAGTGACCTCTTCTGTATCTGCTCCCCATGTGTGCGAAAGGATAGCATATTCGGGAATACTGTTGCCAACGAAGTTCTTGGGAAGGCTGAGCTGATCAGTACTGTTGCATTCCAAAAGATACATAAGTCAAATCAGATTTTCGAGAATACCAGAGAAAGGTATACTCATTGAATATGTGTCGCAAAGTCGATATACAGAAGTGATGGTTTGATCCAGGCCATACTTATTTTGACTCAGCTAAGCAGCAGTCTGGCTGCAATGGTGGCATGGCGAGCGCGCAAGGCTAGCCAATCGCAGGCCGACTACTGTAAGAGTGAATATCTGGGTATCGATGTTTAACACAATTAAACTGTAATTTGCTTTTGCGATCAATAGGATCTCTTAATATAGAAGTCAAAATAAGATAAAATAATACAGCAAGCTAAACAAAATAGTCAAGTTGATACAAGGTCGATCAGATATTCAATAGCATTATTACGCTGTGGTACTAAAGACGTCGACGGGGTTGTGTATTCAATGAATGATAATCCGATAAGAAAGCGAGTATGTAAGCACTGGGCAGTTTAGCAAGCGGTCGAGGCTGTATAAAACCGCGATCAAACCTGCGGGATTTGGAGGCCTGAACCGATGTACTTAAACATAAGGTATTACCAAATCCATTACCTGCAAAAGCACGCTGTCGGGTCGTGATGTATTGCGGAGGATTTTCAGCAAGCGGAGCTGATGTGGATATAGGCGGAGCGACAATATGGCAAAGGGTTTTGGCGTGACGAAAGATGCACTTTGCTATACTGTAATATATGTGAAGTTGGTGGGTTAGGTTACCATTCACAATCCAGAATTGTGGCACTGAGAGCGTCCCAACTTTTTGTAAAAGATAGACCAAAATTCCGTGGCGTAAAGTTACAGAGTACGTATTGCCCAACGTGAGTTTGGCTTGGGTAGATTGAGTACAGATCGGAAGAATGATAATGTATAATCCAAATATGTTTTCCAATATTTATTTTTTACTTTTATCCATTCTTTCCAATTTGGAAGCATTACAGCCTGACTTATACTGGCGGTTCTTCTCGGTCGCTTTCGGGTTGCTAAGCAAATCGTATGAGCATAATGGTAAACAACGAATCCCACCAAATCTCTACCTTTATTTATATCTCATCAAAACCAACATCTTTTCTCATTCAATATCTCCATGTCTTGCCCAGAGTTCGGCGTATTTCATTAAAGACTCAAGATCTGATTCTAACTTTCAGAGTTCGATATTATCTGTTTCTGCACCAAGTAGACAACCCCTGTTATTGAAATTTGGCATTATTACATTAAACCGAACATTCATCCCTATCTCGAACCTCTAACCCTGCCCATCAACTCCATCTCATTAAGAAGAATTTACAGAGTGGTATGAATCCCTTTGTATGTATCTGCCAGTATCGCCAACTGAGTAGCAGTCAAATCGAACAACCCCACTTCGAGCTTTCAACAAACGCGTGTGGACTCAACCTCAGTCTTCCTCATCTACCACGTTCAAGGGAGAGTTTATAAAGTAAGACGCATCCCTTATCACATCCTGTCAAAAAAAAAATACAATGCCGAAGGTAACGTTGTTCTTGAACTATACCCACATTCTTACAAATTCTAATGCGAAAGAACGCAGACCACAGGGGCTGTACATTTATTTATCCATTTAACGTCCTTTTTCAGTCCAAGACTATGTAAGACGGTTCAGACCCTAGTGATCTGAACAAGTAAGTTGGGTTATCTATATAAGAATACAAATGATTTTATATAGCGATTTGGGTGTTGGTAATGACTGGGGGCACGAAACAAGTGAAGGGGGAACTCTGCCCCATTTCCTTACAAGAAGGAAGATAAAAATGCCTAATCAAAACATTACGCTCATGATCTCCAAAAACAACCTCTTCAAACAAATGAAATCCATCCAGCCGTCTTCATGTCCTGTTCGTACTTCTCAGCGGTCTTGCCTTGCCTAATATCGACTTCATGGTATTGAAACAGTGGGGCAGTGGTTCTACAAGTCCCTCAAACTTGTAGAACATATCCTTTGAATAATACAGGACCTTTGCTGTTTGCCAGCGCTAAGCCTAACGTTGCACCACAAACACCTCAAGCTAAAGTAACCTGGGTTAAAACGGGTTTCCTAAAAACAACCCTTGAGCCTCATCACAATTTCTGGCAGCAAAAACGACTGTCCTTTTGCGCATTGTTTGTCATACCGAAAGGTCTATACACTGGCAACGGGCATACCCACATCTATAGGTGGTATGGGATCTTGCAGTCAACCAACGGGAATTTTTGAGCTACAAGTATATCTGCATTAGCTTCGGCAAGAGCGTATTAGACGGGATCAGGCATATCTACGCAAACAACGCTAATCTATCTGATAATGGGTTAATCGTGAGATTCGAATTTGATAAATAAACTGTTTTCCTGCTGGAAACAAAGATATAGACTTCTTTACATCTTGTCTTGTTGTGCCTCTGTCAACCGGTAATTGCTTCGAAATCTTATCAAAGCTCAATTTACCGTCGTTATGGTCACCGGTCAAACAGGTTTGGGAAACCAGGCTACATTGACCAAAATTGATAAGCTGAGAGAATTGAATATTGGCAAAGTTATTCCATTGCCTCAGGTAAACCACATGATCCTGTGATTTGATTAGTTGAAATGTCTAATGCTACAAAACAGCTTGTTGTAGCGGGTGACCAGTCGTCTGGGAAAAGCTCTCTTCTGGAGAGTCTTACAGGATTCTCGTTTCCTCGTGGCACTGGACTCTGCACTCGTTATGTGACCCAGATTACCTGCTGCCGTGGACCCGAGACGAGTATACTTGTCTCTATCATCCCCCGTCCGAATGCAGATGAAACACTCAAGGCGCAACTTCTCCAGTTCCAGCCCTGCATTAAAGAGATGAACAATGATGACCTCGCCAAAATATTTGAAGAGGTTTATTGGCTATTCTTTAAGTGAGTATTGGTTTTCTCTAACAATGGTTCTAGGCCAACCTTGCCATGGGCATCCGAATAAGCAAAAATGATGGTGACATTAGCCGTGGGGCGTTCAGTCAGGATATCCTCAAGATTGAGATTAACGGACCTAAAGTTAGTTCATATCTGCATACTCGAATATTATAATCCAGCTGATGTTTTTTAATAGCAAGATCATCTAACGGTTATTGATGTACCTGGAATATTTCGAGTCGCTACACCGGGTAAGATATTTATTATACTTGAAAGGGATATGTATTAATAGGTTTCTTAGGACTTACAACAGAGAGTGATATTGCGTTGGTTGAGAATATGGTTAAATCATATATGAACAGTCCTAGAACTATGTCAGTTCCTATAGTCATTGTGATAAATACATTCGCTGATGAACTGGCAGTATTCTGACAGTCATTCCTTGCAACGTCGACATAGCTACCCAGGAGATTCTAAAACTTGCCAATATGGCTGACCCGAGTGGTGTCAGAACTATGGGCGTGCTGACCAAACCTGATCTCGCCACAGAGAAGGTTACCAAAGATACCATTATCGATCTAGTTAGTGAAAACCCTAGCACTCTGAAACTTGGATACTACATTGTGAAGAACCGCAGTGCAGATGATAACAACATCTCTACGGTCGCTGAACATCTTGATGCCGAGAACGCCTTCTTTATGGCACCTCCTTGGTTGACCGTTGCTGATCGCTGTGGTATTGCTCACTTGAAGGAGCGGCTTCGTGAGTTGCTAATGAATATCTCCAAGCAAGAGACTCCCAAGGTTAGATCCGAAATTGAGCAGCATTTGTTTGACTGCAGGCAGAATCTGGAGACCATGGGACCATCACGAACCGACCAGAGTTCCCAAAGACTCTATTTGGCGAAGCTGGCTTCGAAATTTCAGGACACTACCCAGGCCGCTCTGAACGGATACTACACAGGAGACAAGATCTTCAAAAAAGATCCTAATCTCAAGCTTATCACAAAGATAATCAAGCTAAACGAGGATTTCTCTGACGTTTTCTGGAGACATGGCCATAAGCAGCATTTCGGGGACAATCGGGACGATGAGGGAGAGAGCTTCTTTGGACGCGATATGGGCCATGTTACCTTTGGAATACCCCTTAACCAGTATCACGAGATTAAAGACATCCTGACTAAGGACTATTGTTGTCCCGAACCTTCGAAAGAACCACTTTTGAGTCATATTGAGAAAGTTTATGAGTCCAGCCGCGGGCCTGAACTTGGAACAGTAAGAACTTGCGATATTGCATTTTATATTGACTAACGCAGAATTTCTAGTTTGGTGGAACAATTCTCGCCATAGTCTTCGAAGAGCAGACGGAGAAATGGGAGCCTCTTGTGCTATCACACACGAGCAGAGCCATCGAGATTGTCCATGAATATATCTTTCAGCTGATCGCCAAGCTATGTCCGAAGGAGCAGGTTCGAGACCAACTGTGGAATGCTCTCCTTGTGGACAAGTTGCGCAAAGCATACCGCAAAGCTATGAACCATGCTCGTTTTCTCCTTGACATTGAGCGTGGAGGAAGACCGATTACATTCAATCACTACTTCAACACCAACCTTCAGAAGGAGCGTAGCCAGCATATTTCCGACTCCTTCAACGCTATGAAAATCTCTTCTAAAGGTAACCAGTGTGCTGTTAACAAAGATAATAGGCGGCAGGTATGTGAGGACATTCTCGATACTCTTGCAAGCTATTATAAGGTATCTCGAAAGCGGTTTGTGGATGTCATCTGTCAGCAAGTCGTACATCATTTCCTCCTTGAGGGCAGTGATAGTCCACTTAAAGTCTTGGGTCCTGAGCTGGTTATGGGTCTTGATCCTGAGCAGCTTGAGCAGATTGCCGGTGAGGATATAGAGTCGAGACAAAAACGTCAGGGCTTGGAGCGGGAAATTAAGAGTTATGAGGCGGCTTTGAAGGTATTGCGGGCTTAATCGTGCTATAAAGATTCTATATCTAGATATTTACTAGTAGTTGATGTTGTATACCTGCTGTATGAAGTACGAATTACAAGAGTCCGTTATCTGTCATCCATCTTGTCAGCCCAAAAGAGCTGGAAATGCTTCAGTTGGAAGTAGTGGTTAATCTCTCATCATGTGTCTACCGAATTGAAGTTATTTACAAAAATGAAAGTATATATGTGGTGTGGAGATTCCGGAGCTAACCCAATACAGAACCCCACATCCAACAGCCATCCAGCTATATCTTACCGAAGTTGATATTTACAAGACAGAGCTTGTTTAACATATTTGCTGTCTTCTAGAGACCATTGGATTCATTTGTGATAACTGAGATATTGAAAAGCCATATTATCAAATCAATGTACCAAAGGCCGCGTTATTTTATGACAATCTTCTTGAATCACAAGGTCAAAAAATGACCTTGATGGGGGATTGTCATACCCGATCTAAACAGACTCCGCCGGCTCTCCGGACAGCTTTACATAGCCTTGTAGCAATTTCACGAGCTCCTGGTACTTGCAGCTTCGTTCTAACGACTAATACTAGGTCAGGATATGTTGCAAGGTCTTTATTGATAATATCGAAAATGCTGTCATCTGAATGAAAGTTCCCATATAGAGATACTTCAGGTTTGAGCTTGCCAATAGAAAGTGTTCGCTGTCTATTCGAGATCTGTACCTGGCTTCTTTGAATGTATTGTTGATAGTCTAGTAGATCAGTTTCGAGAAAGAGTCTAGACTGAGATAAATAAATCTTGTAACATATCTCGTATCTCACCTGATCGATCTGACCATGAAGTCTTAAGATCTTGGTATTGAGATCAGGACATTTCTGCTCCAAGCAATCTATGTTTTGTGTGATATACCGAAGAAGACGATTTTCGTTTGCTAGATTATCCATAAGTTGATGGAATAGTGTTGGTTGACATTGAACTGATTGTAGGGTTTCGAAAATGCTACAGATTGTTGAATTGAAAGAAGCTGTTTCGCTTAAAGAGGAGTATAGGGATTGGTGTAAGGTTTTTAGACTTCCGCATTTCCTCGAATATGGGAACTTTAAAAAGTCAGTATTATGAATGATGATATAAAGGATTAATTTACAACCTGCTTTGGCTGGTATGCCGGTGTCACTAACTACAACGATATTACTTGATCTCAAAAGTTGGTTAATCTCGGAGAATTTGCTGAAGATAGAACAAGCTGGTTCAAAAGGATCTTGATGATTTATTTGCTACCTTTTTTGTGGCAATACCTTTATCTTGGTTTTTAGTTCAGTACTATTATCGATTATAATAAGATATTCTGAATAAGAATTAGAATAATGATAAATAATAAGCACTAGTATTTATATATCTCGAGAACCATCTAGGGAGTATTACCTCTTTCTTGATCTGCTGACGATATAATTAGATTTTGGTATTTTTGAATAACGAGAACCCCTTTACTTAGTGTTTAGGTTGTTATTCATTAATAATATCTTGAAATAAATATAAAGATTAAAAAGAAAAAAGATAAAGTTTGATTGAAAATTGAGAAGGGGGAGTTCATCTTCTTATACTTGATACAATAATATAATTACTAGATCGGAATAGAAACCTTACTTGATTACAGGATTTATTTGGAGATTTATTGGCTATACCAGCTCGAAAATGAATTTGAGGTTATTGATGTTGCTGGAGCTGAAGTTCCTTAGTTTGTTATAGTTGGAAGTACATTAGTCATATTCTCAATCAGAATGCGATAGCTGAATAGAGTAATAGGGATATAAGGCAAAAAAGCCGAAGCCGACAACTCTTGCTTATCAAATACTAGAAACAAGGTTACTCATGGGTTGACCTTGTTTTATAAAAATCGAGGGAAATGATAAGAAGAGTAAGATTGGTCCTAGACAGATGTACAAACTAAATCTTTCTGTGATAAATAAACGTTATTATTCTTTAAAGTTATTATTTTCGATATTATACTATATTTTATAACAAAGAAATAAAGTTGCTTGTTTAATCTAAAAACGAAATCAGATTATTTCATAACTTTTAAAATACTTGATAGTATAAGTCAGACACAA